TTGCCACGGGCCCGCGATGTTGTTGCGCTACATCGGGGGGGGGGCCCCCCCCCCCCCCCCCCCCCCGGTGGAAAGGACTGTTTGGTAGTAGTGAAACAGATCCGAGGTGTGGGGGGCAATGAGGAGAAGGGGAGGGGCGATGGGGCCTCGAAGGAAGAACAGAAAAAGGCGAGAGAGGTGGGGGGAGGTGAGGGGGTGCAGAAGGAAGTGGAGGAGGTGGAAAGGTTGGTGGATGGAGTGGAGGTTGACGAGGGGATTACCGGGCCTGTGCAGGACAATGACAGGAGGGAGAGATCTGTGGGGAAACAGGTTGAAAAGGGAAGGCAGCAAGAACGGGGTGAGAATGGTGGTGGAGGTCCTGTGGAGCGAAGGGGAAAACAGGTGGAGTGTTGGCTCATAGTCCCCTATGAAAAGAGACAGGTGCCCGGAGAAGGAGTCGACAAGGGAATGATGTTAGCCCCGGAGGGGTCGAAGGGGCAACGGGGTGTTGGGGCAGGCGGTGAGTCGACGGTAGAACAGGTGGACTTGGTGGCTAGCCTGCCTGACTCCCCTCTCCCCCCCCCCCCCCCCTCCCTCCCCTCCTAGTGCAGCTGCTACGAGTGCATCAGCAGGGGAGCCGACGCGCTCGGGAGGGCGTAGGAGAAAGCAGCTGGCGGCGGGGCCGCCCAAATCTTCCCCCTCAGAGCGAACTAGCCTCTCAACGTATGAGACAGTGGGGATACGGTATAACTGGGATGAAGAGCGGATCAAGCTGCAGGCAAAACTGAGGTGTCGAGAAAGGTCCCGATCCCCCAAGGAGGGTGGCCAWAAAAAAGTGGGAAGATGGGTCTCACCCCAAAGACAGAGAATGGAAGAGGAGTTCAGGGGTGAAGACGCAGGGGATGAGGGGCAGTCGGCAGCCATGGGAGGCAGCCAGCCAATAGAGCTTGACACGGAATTGGAGGACATGACCATAGATGAAGGGGGGAACCCGGTGGATGGGGAGGTGGAGGGAATGGATGAGGATATGGACATCACTATAACGGTACAGGGTTCGCTCACTGAGATTCTGGCAGCAGGGGACTGTAATGTGTGCCCGATAGTGTTGTGGTGGGCAGAAGATGGAATTCGAGTGGTAACGAAGGGGAGCACGGAGCTCCTCACATACGCGGCAAGATCCCTCCCCAAGAATCAGAATATTTCAAGGCAGGTGAGCCGGTGGGTGGGATCAAACTACAGAGTTAGGGTGCTTCCCAGAGTTTCGGCGGGCAGATTTTTCAGGCGGCTGCAGCAGGGCAAGGAATACGGGTTGCTGGTCTTTTTCACAGCCATCACTCCAAAGAGAGCGGCCCCCCTGACTCTGGCACACAAGGAGGCGACGTGGACGCGGTTCGACCAGGTCTTCGGCTCCCGTGCGAAGCCGGCGGACTTCAGAATAGTAAACGAATTTACGGCGGGGGTGCTGGTCAAGGTTAACTCATTGCTGCCGGAACAGCAGCGAGTGGGATCTGAAAATTTCTTGAGGGCTAAGGGTTGGTGGGCGGTAAATGATAGGGAGTAGAATAGGACTATGGATGCTGTGTTAATTATGAGTGCCTCAGGGGGAGTGCACTCCCTCCCGTTGATATGGGTTAGGCTGTACGTTAGTAGTAAACGACTTTGTAGTTGCGTTCTAGTTGATTGTTCTTTCCTTTTTCTGTTGAGTTCTGGTTTTGCCTTTTTGCTGTGTTTTGCCTGATCGGGTTTGGCACTGCTCTTAGTCTGGGAAACTAGGGATTGGCTGATTGCTCTTTTCTTTTTTCTGCTGAGTTCTGGGTTTTTGCTTTTTCGCTGTTTTCTTTTTTAACGACGGATCCTGTCCTTTTAGCCTGACCTGGTTTGGAACTGCTTTTAGCTTGTGAGACCAGGGATTGGAACTTATAGCTAGTAAGGGAGATGGATCGATGAACCCGGCCAACGAAATTGAAAGTGCTAACCTGGAATGTGAAGGGGCTGTCAACCCGCTCGTTGAACCTAAAGAGATGGGAGCTGCAGCGTACAGTCCGTGAGAATCAGATTGATGTCGTTTGCCTCCAAGAAACTAAATTAGGGGAAGGACTGTGCATGCACGATGCCCCCTGGTGGAAAGGGCCCCAGGTCTGGGCTCCTGCTCAAGGCAGGCCAGACAGGGGCACACGGGGGGGGGTGGCGGTACTGATCTCCCCCAAATTTCGGGGGGAATTGGTGGATTGGAATTGGGATAAACAGGGGAGATGGGCCTGGGTGGTTTTGCAATGGGGACAGATGTGCTGCTGCGTGGTGTCAGTATATGGGCCGTCGGATCCCAGGGAGCGGAGAGACTTCTGGGAGGACATCAGGACGAAAATCCCTGCAGTCAATGGCCTTGTTTTTGCTGGGGATTTCAATACTACCATCCATCTGGGGCTGGACTCGATCCAGGAACACCCACCCACGGCGGATGCGACCGCCTTACAGTTGCTTATGGCGGAGTTGGGCTGTGTGGACGTGTATAGGTCAGCATTCCCTACAGGGCGGGAGTATACGTGGTTTGGGTCAGCAGACAGGCGGAGCCGTATCGATATGGTGTGGGTCTCGCACACCATCCACAGGAGTGGTGGTGAGATCTCCTATATCCCAACTGCACTGTCGGACCATGTGAAAATAGTAGCAGCCCTCCCAGTCGGAAACATTATGGTAGGTCGCCCGCAGCCCTCCATCCTGGCGTGGGTCTTTCAGGATGCTGAGTATAAGCCGCTGATTCACCAGCACTGGGCGGCGTGGGCGCAAATGCGCCCTCAGGGAACGAATGAGTTGGAATGGTTGATGCAAGGCAATGCCTTGCTGCGGAAATGTCTGCATGACAGGCTAGCATGTAGCTATAGAGCTCATTTGGCCACAGGACAGGAGTACGTAGAGCGACTTAGTGCACTGAACAGTGGTCCAAAGGATACTCAATCGGAGGAGGAGTGGTGGGTGGAGAGGGCCGAGGCAGTAAGAGAATGGCAGGAGTGGGTGACTGTGGAGGCCGCCCGGTGGGGGCGAAGATCGAAGGTGGGATGGACTGTGGTTGGGGAGAAGATGTCAAGACGTTTCTTCAGAGAGCTGGGAAAAAGGCAGGGGATAGCCCTAATGACGGCAATGGATCATCCTTTTGATCAGCAGAGGCCACGGCAAGAGACAACGGCGGGGATTATGAACTGTGTCACGGACTTTTATGCGGAGCTCTTCACTGAGGAAGAGGAGTGGACGGCGGAAGAAATGGCCACAATCCCTCAGGAGGATATCTGGAAACATGTACCAGGAGGACTGGCCCCTGAGCAAGCTGGACCCCTCGAGAGGGACATAACCTCAGATGAGGTTTGCAAGGCGATTGATGAACTGCCAAGGTTAAAAGCGCCAGGTGTAGACGGAGTCCCGGTCGAAATGTATAAGGCGGCGCCGGACTTTTTTGTGCCAACTTTAACAAGGGCATTCAATGAGGCCTTGCAGCAGGAGCACGTCCCTGCAGGATTTGCAGATGCTTTCGTGGTACTGATTTTCAAAAAAGAGTCAAGGGCGGATGTTAGGARCCGGCGCCCGAGCTCAATCCTAAATGCGAATTATAAATTGCTGGCCAAGATCCTGGCGAACCGGCTGAACGAGGTGTTGTCGTGCATCATAAACCCCTTTGTGGCTGGCAGGCAGATAGTCTCGAACATTATGTTGGCAAGGCAAGTTCTCAGAAATGCAGAGATCCACGGCCAGTCGTTGGCCTTTGTTACAATCGATCTTGAAAAGGCTTACRACCGGGTGCGGTGGGAGTTTCTGTTCCAAAGCCTCCTTCGGAGGGGTATCGGGGAGAAGTTCTGTAAATGGGTCAGAGTGCTGTTAGCCTCCGCTAGAACATGTATGGAGGTGAATGGGGTAAAATCAGGGTTCCTGCAACTGACCAGATCAGTGCGACAAGGCTGTCCATTATCCCCTGCCCTGTATGTCGTATACATTGAGGCCTTGCATGATCTCCTTCGGGGGGATGAAGGTCTGCAGGGGTTGCAGCTGGAGCAGGACTTGGTCCTAAAGTCAACGGCTTTTGCAGATGACACAGGTGCGGTCATTCCTCCCACAATACAGCAGCTGCGTCGTCTTCAAATGGACCTGGCCTGCTTCGCGCAGTATTCGGGAGCCAGAGTAAAATGGCAGAAATCGAAAGCTATTCTCCCCCGAGACTGTAATGCCCCGGAGGAGTGGGACATCCCTACCCTGGGTGATGGAGAGAACATGTGTTTCTTGGGTGCTATGATACACCCGGTGGTGGGGGGAGCCCAGCAGATGGAGGGTTTGGCGACCTCAGCGGTGCTGAGAATGGGACGATGGGCGAAGAGGGCGCATCTAGGCGTATTTGGAAAAGCCCTGGTGCTMAAAAACTCAGTACTATCTATGATGTGGTACRCTGGTGCCATCCACATGCCAAAGAAGCGGGTGTTCAGACAGCTGCGGACTGCAATACACAGGTACCTGTGGGCGGGGGACGTAGAGGCGGAGTCATCGATCCCCAGAGTGGCGTGGCCGAAGTTAATTCAGCCCAGGGGGCAGGGGGGGCTGGGTCTCTTGGACCCGGAGCTGCAGATGACAGCGCTGCAGCTGCGTAACCTGCTCTGGGTACTGCTGGGAACGGTTGGAACTGCTTGGGAGCATCTCACGAATCACCATCTGGCCTACGCCCTCGGCATGCCTGAGGAGACCGTCCTGGTAGCCTTGGCTAGTCCGGGGCTCATTACTCATGTGAAGAGGGACCAAGTGTGGTCCACCCCGCTTGGGCTGTGGAAAAAGATTCGCCTGATGCAGAAACTGCCGGTGACTGCAGATGATGTATATAACCAGCTCCTATTTGACAACCCCTGTATACGTGATGACGAAGGGGATCCCTTCCCATGGCAGGGAAAACAGGGGGCTTTTGGGAGGTGCTGGGCGGAATGTGGGGTTTTCAAGGTAGGTCACCTTTGGGATGAGCGGGCAAGGGATTGGAGGAGTGAGGAGGAGATGGCCAGGCTGCTCCCCCACAAGTTCCGGAGGAGGCAGCGATTGGAGGCCCTCAGGGTAGCAATCCCTACACAATGGGTTGACACCCTGAGAACGGACGAGTGGGCGGCGGGGGAGTGGGTAAGACTAAAGGGAGATAAACACCCACTGCGAGTATATCAGATTCTGCAAATACTGGGTGAGGAGGTGGAGACTCGAGAGTGGGTCGTTGCTACGGGATATGATGGCTTGGGAACCCCCATGAGGGTTGGGCCCACTGTGAGGAGAGGACGGAAAAGGGGGGAGGTGGAAACTGTGGCGGTATGCGAGGAGAAGGGAAAAGGGGGGGTGATGGGCAATGTCAGGCCCTACCGGATTAAGTGCGCAAGAAGGGAATTGATCATCGACCCGGAAGAGTGGTACTGGCCGAAACAGAATTATAATACAAAAAAGGTGCAGCTCCACCAAGTGACCACTAAAATCATGTACCGCTCCCTCCTCCCTCAGATTGATGTGCGTGAGGAACTGGTGGATCGATGGAGTAAGCGCGGGTGGCTACCGGCTGTATACCTGCTCAGATGGCGGCAAAAGGAGTGGAGAGAGCAGTGCGCCCTGCTGAAAGCTCTGTCAAATCAGAAGCAGGCTGGCCTGCTGTGGCTTATTTACCACTTGGCCGTCCCTACGGCCCAATGGCAGGCTAGCAAAAGCAATTATCGGGACGAGCGCTGTGGGGCGGGATGTGACCAGGTGGAGACCATCCCTCATCTCTTCGTTAAATGCCCGATCGTCCAGCAGTTTTGGAGGTGGTGGGAGGCAGAGATGGGAGACAATACTCCGTTTCGCGTTTCAGAAGAGGATGATGCAGAGATACTGCTGGGATCTCTGGTCAAGGTGGAAAGGATGAAAAAGACGGAGCTATATGCCTCAGAGGTGATACGGGCGGCGGTACTCTGGACCATATGGGCCCTCAGGAATGAGCGGTGTAGGCAGGGGAAAGAGATTACTTTTCAATCGTTACGGGCTAGAGTCCTGGAGAGCMTGAGAATGGCGATGTCTGCAGAAGCTTTGCGAAGCAGGAGAGCCACAGACCACGGGTTGACGAAGTTTTGGGATGTGTGGGGTTGTTATGCAGGCCTGGTGCAACAAGACGGGAATGTGGGACTATGGAAGTATGGCCCGACACTGTGCAATAGGGCAGGTGATTAGAGTAGTATTGCGCAAGGACCACTGTGGTGCTTGTACCATATAAGGGTGGGCCAGTGCGAAGTGTGGGGGGGGGAGGG